CACATACGGTTGAGGTATCAAGATGACATCTGAATCTCTACCAGTGCCACGCTTCAACGTCGCGGCTGCCACTGTCCCTTCGGCAACAGGAAGAGTGTTTTGTTCCTCGCTGAGGACGACAGTCGCCGGCACATGGGCAAGGTGCTTGTCCTCGACGATACCGAGGAAACCCATCGCGACGGTTGTACCCGCACTATGCTATTGGAAATTTCCGAAAAAGTGAAAGAAGGATGAAGCGAAAAGCAATGGAAGGATTCCGAGGAACAATTCCAGGATGCAGCTGTCAACAACGTGGGACGGCGCGCGTTATGAACGATCGGCATCCCCAAGTTTCGTCGACCTCCACGACCAGGGGTAGCGTGCGCCTTCTGGGGTTCAGTGTTCAAATTGTGGTCTCTGCGACCCCCGCACAACTCTCTCTCATCTGAAGCCCCACAGGGGCCGGCATTTCATAGGCTTTTGCGTGCCAATATTGGGGAATGCCTTGTCGACAAACGCACGTCTAGGCTGGCCTTGCGTCTTATCTTGTCTATAGGACGCAGGGCCGGCGCGGTGCATGGTCATGCATCTCAGATGCGTTTAGCCTGATTGTGTCGTCATACAGAAGTATTGGATATCATCAAAAGTGAGCGTTCGAGGGTAATGAAGACGCGAAACTGCACAAGAGGTGCGCATTTTACAGGAAACTTTGGCCGTCGCGTCCTGCGAGGACGGGACGCAGCTGCCAATTTTGCGGAGAGCACGCTAGCTACCCCGCAAGCCCCACAGCTGAGACTTAGCGCGTGAATTGCCTAGCCGTGCGTGTCCGAGCAGCGCGTCGCGAGTTTCGCAGTCTTGGTGGCGTCTTCTCCAACTCCTTTCTTCAGCTATCAAGATACCGCAGCCCTCACGCCATACTCGAGTTCCGCCGTTCCCGTGGGGCGAACATGGTCGACTGTACTTGGTGTTGCGACTGACACCCGCTGGGATCTTGTCCCGGCAGACTTTACGGGGTTGGACGCCGAACCACGTCAGCAAGGTCCACCAAACCCACATGGGCTTGTTGGTTTGCCCTCGACATCTGCTGCCTGGCTCGGTTGCTTTCCCGCGAAACAAGAACACAGTAACAAGCGTTCGCAAAGAATGATCGATCCTCAACAAAGCTCCGCATCATGTCGCAAATCGAGCCATCATCTTTTTCCCAGAACACTCTACTTGACTGCATGGCGACTGAGGCAGGATTCTGAGACATTCTCAACAAACGGCATGCGAGCCGATATGGAGAGTACAACTCGAAGTCATGGTACTAACAACACAGACAGACTTGAAGTGCTTTCTTACTCGTCCACGTTGTGAAGAATGGTACATCCAACCGCGTGCGCGACAAATCTCATAGTAGCCGAATAGTATGCCAGCGACCACACTTTCGCTGAGTCAGAGCGGCATGTACCATGGATCACTCTCGGCGAGATCAAAACACAGGTACAAATGCTGAGCGTTTGAGTAGTTCTGCAAGACGTTGTTCCTATCTCCTTGTCTCTTGCCTTCATACTCACATTCCCCCCAACTGACTCGAAAATCATGGACTCACCACCCTACACTCCGGACTCCGCAGCAGAGACTGCACCAGACAACATATGGAAAGCCCAACACCTATACCAGTTCCTCCTCGAGAATATAGCTTTTGCGTATGGAGTAAGCCAGGAAGCACTTCTCGAGGCACTGGCTTCGGAACATCGGCTGTATCTACCACTTAGCGGAAAAGTGAGGCCTGTCATAATCTCTCCAACAACGAAACAAGAACGCAAGGAGTACCTGCCCCTCTGCAAACTCATACGGGCCTCCCGAAGGCACGTTCGACTCGGCCAGTACAGCTTAAATACAAAATCGGACTATCGAATCCTATATCAGCAACTCGTCCTTCCCTGCCAGGCTTTGGAGCTGTGTCCATCGTACGTCGGCTCATGGATTGCAGACTACAACGATCATCAGTTCAACCCTACGAAACGTCTCGCAACTTACCTCTACGATGATTGCGCACGTATACGAATATTCGGCCATACATTGCCGTTTCCGGTCGTGTGGTACTCTGCAATTTTGCAGACGAAGCTCGCTGCTGACGACGTCTTCGTCGAAGACTTCCCGCCGAATGAAAGGACTCAGTTGCTTCTGGGTTCCGCCATAGCACGCTTTGGAGGCAAGCATCTGGGCCACCGAAGACTTCGACCTCAGAGGAGGATATTACACTCGAAGCTAGGGATGCAAGAGCTTTTCAGACTTGTCCTGAGGTACGACGATGCGAGGCATGGGGTGGTTGGTTGAGATGTCATCACGAGCGACGTGGTGGCTCAGCCAGGAAGTCAGACAATGTGCTTGTGCTCGATGACGCGCAAATACCACGGATTGTCTGCGCAATTACGCGGAACAAACCAGAAGGATAGCGTTGGTTTAAACGGCCTTTTTTTCACCCAAGGGGAAGCACTGGCTTAGCTCGATTCTGACCCAATGTCCCGAATGTGGCGGACACCCACTCCTAGCCCTGTAAGATCTTCTGCGCCACCAAGGACTACGACTCCGACACCAGTCTCGATACTACCTCCAATACAACATACATACGTCCTTCTCCGCTCCTCAATACAAGAATACATCGGCTGTCACGGCAGTCAAAACACCATAGCCTCAGAACCGGAAGCACTCCACGTAACACCATCCTATCACGTAGCTTGCCAACTACTCCAGCTGCATAAGAGGGATACGACCAACTTTCGCAATGACTATGCATATTGTCGAAGCACCTACATGTACTCTCCTCCACCTTCTTCCGAAGTCGAAGGTTGCGACATCACCCTTGTAAGCCGGTTCGCGGATGCGCCAAAAACGATTGTACGCTTTCGAATCCAAAGGGTAGAAGTAGTGCATGAAGCGGACGCCTTTGGGCGCAGAGTATAGCGAAGGCAGTCGGAATCCTACATGAAAGAAGCGCACGATCTTCCTAAAGACTCGTTCGGGCAAGCGATGTTACCAAGGAAGTCAGTAGATGGTCTGCTGACGGTGGTGCGTGAGGGAAGTGGTTGTGTGTAGATAGTGCAAGCATGTAGGTGTCAATGTCAGTTATATAATTGCGTTAGAGTTGCCAGACGCCTACAAAGACGCTGTTTAGTGCGTTTCAACATTCTTAACGACCGTGTGAACTCCGGGACTGACTTTGCGCGTGAAACCCTGGACATGATTTGACTGTCTAGATCACGAATGGATGTGGCAGCAACTCATCTCGGGCGATGCGCTCATTGATCTCTTAGCTCCGAACAAGGCTACGCGAGGTCCCATCGGTAAGACAATAGCGGAGGCGGGCGTCAGAATGTAGTTCAGACAGCTGGGGCGAGTTACAAGCGTGAAGCATTTGTCCACGTCGTACGTATCACTGCATCCAAGAGTACTATTCGCTGCGCCGTCGTCGACTATACTTTCATGGAAAGTGCAAGAGTTGGCACATACGGGCCAAGAGAACACGGCTAAGAGCTGTGGCACAGAGAATCCGGAAGTATGAACTTGGGAGGATTGTCTGATCGAACTCCTGTGATGATTAGTTGGGAAAGACGCATTTGGGAAAGAGATCGGCATACCATAGCTATAGGATGGACTATGCCACAGCAAAATCTTAGCCCAAGCTTGAGATGTAATTGGTAATATTGTCAATTAATGTCTTGGATCGCGAGTTCGTGTTTCCTGTTGCTTCTAGAAATTTGAATCACAGCCTAATCACTTTGCGAGGAAGGCCGTGTTTCGTTGAGAGGGCGCCTGACATAGGATGCCCTGGAGGTACTCGGCGTATGATTTGCTACCAGATATCACTTTCAAATGCACCGAATACCTCCCGAGTGACTCGTATCGCCACATACTACTAGTCTGCAAATCCTAAATCTTATTAATCGTTGCTCATAGCTGCTGACATACGTTGCCAAGTTCTGCACGTCCCAAGCATGGAGTCTTCCAACTGATGCAGCTCATCTATCGCGTTGACTGCGTGTGTGCAAGGGTAAGGCTGAGAGTACCATCTTCTTCTAAGAAGGTATCACAAGCATATGGTGGAATATTCACGAGGGCCGATGCCAGGCTATACGGGCTGTTGTAATAGCCTGATCATCGAGCTCGCCAAGTACCTCGAAGGCATCCAGACTCACTGTATTGCTTAATCTTTCCGAGTGCGGTCACGAGATGAAGTCGGGCCATCGGATAGGTAGAGCAGCGTTTTAACTGCTCCCGATGCTAGGTTTGTCATTGTGTTAGCAGCCTCTCCTCTGTCCAGTGTCGCGAAGGGTGATAAGCTCATGTATTAAGTCGAGATCATCATTCGCGATGACCGTGTAGTCGACAAGCCCACCTGTGATCTGAAAATTCCCTTGGTGCTTCCGCATATATCTCACAGCTGACGCTTGCGATGGTGGACGAGCAGTGCCTCTCTAGACCTCTTACATCAGTTGATGCCTGTAATACAGCTGAACGTGAACTCAAAAAGGCACGCCAGAAGGGAATGGCAGAGGCTTCCAGTGATACACGTGATTTCGCGCCCGCGCACAGTCCGTGCCCGTCGCGCCTTCCTCGCAATATTTGACCCCGCAAACAAAGCCTGATCTGCCAAATCACCTCACAGACAACGAAGACGGTGACTGCCAGTTGCCATCTCACCGGTAATGGCGCGCCGAGGACGCGCTAAGCCCGCCGCCTATCACTGTGCGATATGTGAGCAGTCCTTCTCCAGCAAAGCTGAGCTCAACTACCACACTGCCAACTACGACGATACCGGCACCGCGAAGCTGGTGTGCGCCACCTGCGGCTGGTACTTCGACGACTCACACGCCCTTGAGCTCCACCAAATCCAGAGCAGTCACGCGCCTTCCCAATCAGCACCTCCGAGCTTGACGACCGCGCTTACCCCATCGATCGACGACATGGCTGTTCACTGCGATCGCTGCCAGAGGCATTTCGCCACCCAGAAGCAGTTCAGTAACCATCGCAGTAACATGGCGAGTGCGTGCGCTGATTGGAAGCACACCACTACTACTCCAAGGCCGCAACCACCGACACCCTCCGTAGTTGCCTCGGGGTACCTTGATCTCGACAGACCTAACGAAGAGCCATCTGTAGTCCCCAACTATGATGATGGTGCATCATCGTCATCTGACTCCGTCGACAGCGATGTCGGCATCAAGTGCAGCGACTGCAAGCGAACCTTCCGCTCCATGGGTCACTACAACAACCACATGCTGGGTTGCACTCCTGTATCGACGACCACACAAGTCCGTGAGGTGATCCCGGCTACCGCATCAGGTAGTTCTTCACTCACCGTGAACCACATGAGGGCAGAAACTCCTCGTTTACCGACACCGCGAGCCCCCATTTCATCTAATGTATCCCCCGCGCCTACCAGTAATCCGGCTGCTTTTGCATGCAACACCCGCGGTTGTGATCGCTCCTTCAGGTCTGAAGCTGGCCTCAAACAGCATAAGCAGGACGCTCACGGTGTCGGAGGTCAGGCATTGAACTTGGCCGGCAGCGACTCATGGATGCTCAGCAATCGCGAGCGAGAACGAATGCGGCAAGAAGGTCTTCTTCAACACACTCCTTCTCCTCGGGGTCGCGGCGGTCAAGGAGGACGTCCAACTCCTCGTGGAGCACCTTCCGGTCCTCGGGCGGCTCCCTCTTCAACAAGACCATCTGTACAACAACAGCAATCTGCCTTCGCCCGTCCAATGCCGCAGCAACCTCACTTGCCCGCCCAAATGCCCCCTGCTCCCATCAGCACGAATATGGGCGGCGTCGCGGAGCTTGAGCAGGCCAAATCCATCCAGGCAAAGACCCTACGGTTGCTCCTTCAATCTGACGTCTTCATCCTACACGATGGAAAGGTCAACGCCTGCGATATTATGTGGACTCGGATCGGCGTCGCCAAACAGTACGACGTGGTTACTATGCTCGACGGCCTGTGCCATCTCCCAAAAATGCTGCAAGGCGAATACATACCTCCCCCAAAGGCGTTGAAAGAAGATTACAAGGCCACGTATTTGTCAAGCGAGTTCCAAACCTCCCCCGAACGCAACATGGCCAAGCCAGGTCTTGGCGCAGTCGCGATCTCATGCAGCAAAATCCTGCTGGCAAACGGGTGCCCCGAGGTTGTCAAGATAGCAGCTGTTGATCTAATCTCCTGCCGAGTCCTTATGAACCACCTCGTCTGTACTGATCCGCACGCAAAAGTCAAGGATTGGTACTCCTCGGTCACCGGACTTTTCAGCTGGAACGATATGGAGGGCGCTCGCAAATCCGGATACAAGATCTTCAAAGGCTGGTCGGCAGCACGAGACGCGCTTCACAGGTTCGTCGACAAGGAGACCATCATCGTTGGCTATAACCTGCGCTCAGACCTCGACGCTCTCCGCATGATCCATGGACGCGCCATCGATATCGCCAAGGTTGTTGAGAAGGCTGCTCAGGGTCCGCTCAGCAAGGCGCAGCTAGCACTGGATGGTTTGTGCCGCGACTTCCCCGCCATCAAACTGAAGAGCGACCCCGAGTATGGCAGGGACAGTCTGATGAACGCTTTTGCAGTACGTGAGTTCGGCTTGTGGGCGCTTAAGAACACCGATAAGCTCAGCTCGTTGGCCAAAAAGAGGAGTCGAGAGTACCAGAACGCCATGCCAAAAGTCGCTGTTGCAGGAGCTTGATGAGATACGCAGATTTTGAGACAGACAGAACAGATAGGACTACGACAACGAATGCAAAGAACTGAACCCACTTACTGATGATTGCTGTGATGTAACATGTGCACTGCAGACTACATCAGTACGAAAACCGATACCTGACAAGGTCCGGAGGCGATGTAGACTCCTGGGTGATTTTCATGAAGATACCTACGACTTCTCGTTCTTCTCCTCCTGCTCCTTCTCGACAACATCAACTACGAACGCACCACCCAGCAAAATCGCCGGCTCATCAATGCTATGATGCTCATAACTCAACGTCCCCACACCACCCGCTTCCAGAATCAAACTAGGATTCTCCTCCAACCTCTTCCCCACCCACCTCGCCGCAAAGCTCCTCAAAATATGCCCATGCGCCACAATAAGCACATCATTCGGCTTCCCATCCTTCCCAAACTTGCCTTTATGATACTTCTCCCTCAACTCCTTAATCAGCTTATCCAGTCTCTCCGTCACATCCTCCGGGCTCTCGCCGCCTTCGCACCCATCTTTCCATATGTCCCAGTTCGAGCCCAATCCGCGTTTCTCGCGATCGGCTTTTATTTCAGAGGTCACGCGGCCTTCGTAGTCGCCGTAGTCCCATTCTCGGACCGCTTCTGTTACTTCGATTGTGGCGTGTGTGCGGATGTCGGGCGTGTGGGGGGTTGAGGTGGAGTGCCACGGGTAGCGTTCTTTGCAGCCGAGGTTTAGGAGTTCGAGGGTGCGTTGGGAGCGCGTGCGCGGGGAGACGTAGCTGTGTGGGTGGGGTCAGTGGCTGAGAGTTTGAGGTTTCTTGGGTTGTATCTGGGGGGATTAGAGAAGGGATTCGGGACGTACATGTGTGCTAGGTTGCTTGGTACGATCAATCTGTCGTCGCCGACGAGCGCTTTGCCAGTGGCTTTCACACGCTTCTCGCCGTTCTCTGTAAGTGGTATGTCCGAAACTCCTGTATGGCGTCCGTTGAGCGACCATTCTGTTTCGCCGTGGCGGATTATGAAGACACGTGGGTCGGGCATTGTGTCTATTCGTATACCTGCTGTTGTGGCTGCTGGAAGAGGAAGATCGGAGTGACGAGACGCGACGCGCAGGGAATGGATCAACTGGAAAGTTCGGTGGCAAAAGCGCGTGCAGAAGATGAGGTTAGAAGAAACGCTATGAATGTAAAGTCTAAAGAAAGCGCGGAATGAAGTATGCATCCATCACGGCAGCTACCGGAGCTCAGTCCGTAGGTATGACGTTGGTATGGGGAATTATTTAGCATGGTGGGGCGTGCCATGGACGTGTTGGAGCTACCCCACCATGTCCGCTACACGCGCCTTGTCATGCTTCGACGCGCATAGTAAGCCTTGGTCATCACCTTGTTAGGTCACTTCAATATAAGGTAGCTTTGATGATACGATTAGCGCATTCACTTCTGCAAAAGGAAAGAGCAAGTGGCGCGAGTGTAACAGACGAGCGTGAGGTATCTTGGCTGACATTTGGTACAGTGACGGAACTGCTCTCCTTCCTGAAGATGCCTGGGCAGATACAAACAGGAAGACAATTGCGGTACTCTTCATCGAGATACGTGTAAAAGCTGATCTATCTCATCACTCCGCTACGATGGCGTCGTTTGGCACACATTGGAAGTACCATTCTAACAAAGATTAGTTTTGTGGCAGAAGAACGACGCATTAGTGTCCACATACCGTTCTGTTCCACGCATGTTGAGCCCTTTTCGCAAACCGTGCAGCCGTCCCAAGGCTTGGTATAGTCCCAGCCTCCGCACTTGTAGTACGCGGGCACAGGGCATTTCGTGCTGCTTGGGCCAGTCTCTTCACCGGTGGTGGTCTGTGTGGGTTTCTCAGTCGTCTTTGTAGTCGTCTTGATAGTAGTCTAAGTAGGTTAGTATATATTCGCGATGAGGGACTACAATGACTGACCTTTGTCGGGGTAGGCTCTGGCTTCTTGCTAGTCGTGGGCGGTTCAGGCTTCTTGGTCGTAGTGGTTGACGTTGGTGCTGGCTTCGTACTTGACTTGGGTGGTTCGGGCTTCTTTGAAGTAGTTGTAGGTGTTGGCTCTGGCTTCTTGCTTGATGTGGTCGGCTCGGGCTCGGGCTTCTTGGTCGTTGTCGTTGTGACTTTGCTTGTTGTTGGCTGTGGAACACCCGATGTAGGCCGGCTGATGTTGTCGGTGCAGCGACCTCCAATGCATGTTATGATGTACGTCTGGCGAGGCACAATGTCGACATGGTTATTTGCTGGTGCCTATTGCTATGTCAGTATGAGACACTCTTGCGAGTAACGAGTTACATACCGCAAAGCATACTGCCGAGAGGCTTGTCAAAAGCGCAAGCGTGGTGAGCTGCATGATGGTTTGATAGTCAGATAATGATATGCTCTTGAACGAAAATTCAGCCCCAGATGAAGAGCCTGGATTCATGGGACACCGACAGCTTCTTATACCCACGAGCTTGTGCTACTAGTCGGTTCAAGTCTAGGAAGTGAACGACAGGCTCAGTGATAGCTTCGTGGCTCCTGTTCTGAACACCCGCGGCTCCATTGTAGACATGCAGTCTGGCCAGGGCCAAGCTCAGATACGAGGCCATCCCAATCTGCTCTTGCATTCGCCTATATTGTGGCTAGCGAGTTTGTGTGCCATTGTGACGGTACAGGCAATGTCAAGCATGGCGAGATCTCATCCAGTCAGCCAAACACGACAAAGCACTCAAAAAAACGCATTTGAAAGCCTTGGACATATAGAATGCGCTGCGATCTATGGAGGAGGTATCCGCATTTGTTGCTGTGTATTGTAGAGCGTTTCTTAGACGGGTTACCCACGATACAAAGCTACAAGCCTTGCACGAAAAATCCTTGCCTAAAGGCAAATCGAAGCTCGCCTGCGTTGCGAGATGCTTCGCGACTGTCGTTGATGCTATTCTTATCCATGGCCACGCTTATAGACTGGGATACGTTTTAGCCGCAAATTGATACCCAGTCGACCCATGTCCCAACACCAGACTCACACTCACTCCAGAGCGATCGTGATTCGTTTCTTTTCTCTATATGGCGAGAGGATAGATTTTTCGATACAAGCAGTGAGACTGGTTGCCGGAACACTTGACGGGAAACCCGCGCGACGCTTGAGACGATCGCAGAATTGTGCCGTAATCCGGGGGCGGATAATTGAGATGCAGAAAAGTGGGCTTGTTGCATGCTGGTCCAGATTTTGGGGTTGACACTGCTCGAGACAGCTCTAGGCGAGTGCTGGTAGTGATGCTTTGAGAGGCACATGGGTAAAATGAACGGTAGTTACTGTCCGGGGCCAGAGGGTAGTACCTGATCACTCACCGCCTGCTCCATTCTCTTGCTGAGTACCGTTTCCCAGAAGGTCTCCAACACCAATCCACTTCCTCACAAGGAAGGCGCCCTGTGGCCTCAGCTTCCTGTAGTATCCCTCTTCTCTCTCGAGTATCTCAAAGTTGCGCTTCTTGTACCATTCCATGCCCTCCTCATTGGCCTCCCACACATGTGCTGTGACGCAGCGTACACTGTGAAGCTCAACGGCTTTCTTTACTATCGTCTGTAGAAGATGCATAGCGATGCCGTGGGAGCGGTAGGGAGCCAGGACGCCAATGGTGGAGATGTACAGGTTCGAGGATGGAAGTATGCGACATCGGACGGCACCAACGAGATGTGGTTTCTCTGTGGATGATGCCGAGCCGATATTCGTGGGCGACGAGTGCCATACTGCTACGAGGGTAATGCCGTGGTGTGGCTCGGTCATGGTTTCCTTGTAGAAGGTCTCTGGGTAGGATATGGGGAGAGTGAGGGTATTCAAGCGCTTGAATGCTGGTAACAAGTCTTCGGTGAGGGGTACGAGTTGGACATTCGGCGGTAGAGGGCGTAGGTCGAAGAGCTTCGGGATGGCTGGTTGTTGGGTAGAGAGGGAGATGGGTGAGGGTATGCGCGAGATAGCAGGCGTGACGTTTCGGGAGGGACGAGGGCTTTTCTTCGATCGCGGTCTTGAGGGTGCTTGGAGGAAGTCGTCGGGTATGTCGTTCCAGTTCTCCATGTTCGATGGCGTAGGGGTCGGATTGGAGGGAACGCGCGTCGGCGCAGAGACTGACTTTGGGGGAGGCGGCGGCCGGTTCGTCTTTGATGATGCCATTGGAGGAGCGTTTGAGGGCGGCGCAGGTTGTTTATCGAGGCTTGGCTTCTTGAGCCAGTTGTTCAAGGAGGACTGCATCGCGGGCAGAGAGGGGCTGGGTTGGCTGTGATGATGTCGTTGTGGGTCGTGGTTTGGGTAATGATAGCTAATGGATGGTCACGTGGATGACAGCGAGTTGCTAAAGTTGTATCCTCGCGATGCGTTGTGAATTGTGAAGCAATGGAAGCGCAACCCACAAACACAAACATGAGGGGAGGCTTCTGGTGTTTCCCTGACGCGCCTTCGGATCGTTTGCAGGGATGCTTCCTAGCGTGCTTTCGTCGGCCAAGCCGTCAGCTCCGACTTCTTGCAGGAACAGCATCATCGCTCTAGAAATCCCCAGGAGCCACCACCGCAACCATGGGCGCCGAGAACTCGAAACCCTCGTCAGAGGTCAAGCAGCATGTCTTCTCCTCGTACGTCGCATAGTCCACATCCAATGGCTCCAGCCCCTCATAGAGATGAATCAACCAGTGACGTCGTGTGCTGATAATTTGCGCGCAGAGATCACCCCTACAGCTTCTCCAATGAACTCGTCGGATCGCTGCAGAAGAACACTTTCGTACGTCCAATGGTTCAAATGGGCGAATTGGGGCTAACACACGTGCAGACAGACTCGGCGCGATCAAGACAGCAAGAACTCCAGTACCAGGAACGCCTAACCGCCGAGCTCGAGAAGCTGCGCGAGCAAGAAACCCAGAACTTCTCCAAGTTCAGCGAAACACTCTCCAGCGAGACCCCACAGTCCGATGAACCCTCCCTAGTCGAGAAGATCCAGGATGCGACATCCAGCAGCTCCACCCTCGCCGAGAAGCAAAGACAAAAGGACATGGGCAGGGACAGTGTCACCAAGGAGATCGAGCAGCTCAAGGAGAAGCTCGAGCAGAGGAAGAAGTTGGAGCAGGCCGATGCCGATGTCACCAAGGCCAAGGAGGCTGTCGTCTCATGTCTGCGGACACACGACCGCCGACCGCTGGATTGCTGGAAAGAAGTTGAGACGTTCAAGCAGGAGGTCGGACGCCTGGAGAAGGAGTTTGTACAAAAGACCATCCGATGAGCCACGACGCGAGATTGTCACGGTGAGGTTCGGTACGGGCGCCTTTGTATAGTTGGGTCGGGTGGAAATATAGCATCCTTGAGGGCATTTCTTATCTCCAAATCCCTACGTTACTTATTACTTGCATCTTGCTGAATACACCGCTACTACACTATCCATGTAGAATCGCGCAGGGTACCTTTACTGCGATGTTTTTATGACTGTGGGTTACGTCTCTTTCAACTGTCGGTTCTTTCAGTCGCCACAACTATCTTCTATTTCTTGCACATTTTGAGAGATTGATCTCACATTTTACGTGTGTTTGTCCATGGCTTTGGCTACCAGTGGACGAGCATCACCTTTGCATCGCAATTTTCATCATCACAAGTCGCCCTCACCGCGCGTCAGAACGCGTGAGTTCTCTAGGCTGCCTACGCCATCTGCGACAAAACTGGGCTACAGCTCACCTTCCTTCCCCTTCTGGCGTCTACCAGACTCACCTTCACCGTTGATGCCTTGGCGCTTTGGCCTCTTTGTTAAAATAACAGCACAGTGTCTCTCGCAGTTTCAACTACTCACTACCACGCAAGCAGTCTTTAATCGGCGGCTGCAGCAACACCTTGCCCGCCTTTCTGTTACACTTCGCAACTCGCAAGCTGCACGAAATCTCCAGCTGTCGTTGCTCGCGCGCATTGTAGCAACTGCCTAGTCACGACTTCGTGCAGAAGGCAACTGCCAGGTACGTCGCGTGGATCGTCGCGCCTTCCACTCTAACTTTCATGATTGTGTCGCAAATACTAACTAGCAGCAGCAGACAACATGTCGTCAACACGACCCTGCATCGTACCCGATGACTACAACGAGACCTGGAACGATGACGACAGTGATATCGAGCTTCTCGACTATGGTGAGTCGCTACTTTTTCGTTCGACTGAGTTCATTGACTGATATTTAATATCCAGATTCCGAGTCCGATCTTGAGATCACCGCGGTCAGTTCTCGTGAGGCGTCTGCTACACCAACCACTCCGAGCTCAAACGAGGGAAAGAGCCGCACGCGCAAACCTCCCCCAAGCAGCGACATATCTCTACCAGATGTTGCAATCCAGAGATACAAGATCAGCACAAGTTTCGTCATAAAGCCGGGCGATACCGTAGAATTGAAAGATCGTTCAAACCAAGATGAGGGTGCCATGCATTCGGGAGATTTTCTTCGTATCAAAACCATCATCATGAACATGGAGACGGATGAGGTGCGACTCCGAGGTTGGCGGATGCGACGCACTAAGTACCTTGGCCAGATTTTCGATTGTGAGTACGACAGAGACAGCCTTGAGGACATATACTAACTTCTCTCAAGGGAAGATGAACGAGTTGGGCCTGGTCCTCCGTCTTGACGAAGATGATCGTAGACCACCTTTTGTCGCGGGCATGGAAGACGTCGAAATCGAAGAGGTTGACCGAGCGCGCGAGTGTACGCTGACCAACAAACCTTATCCGTTCCTCAGCTTCCGATCCGAGGGCCGTGCTGCATGGCCGAATAGTATGAGTAAGGACGACGTCAAGAAGCAAATATTCCACGGTGGCAGGCTCACTTGCCGTGTTGTCAACATTCTCTACATGAGCGGCACCAGATCAAAGCCATACGGCGGTATTGTTCGTCATCTATATACTCACGAGGCGGATGCAACTGCGACTCCAGCTCCCACTCAGGGTCCTGGTCTTTCTCGTGAGACGTCGATAACGATAGAAGATTCTAAAGAGCCTGGCTACGTTGTCGTGAGCGAGGAGCCTTCCGCGAAGAAGCGGCGTGCACGCGATGAGTCTCCTGACTTCGAGATCTTGGACCATGAGCCATCAAAACGAAAGATTCGGCATCCTTCGAAGCAGGGCCATCTGGTATTCGGCGACGTATTCTGCGGAGCTGGAGGTGCAAGTCAAGGCGCGGCCCAAGCCGGGTACTATGTTCAATGGGGTCTCGACAATGATGAAGACGCGTTTGCTGCATACCGCCTGAATCATCCTGGCGCGTACGCATGGAAGATGAATGCGCATGACTTTCCGCCAACCGGTATTAGCAAGGAGAGCTGGAAGGTCGATGTGCTTCACCTCTCGCCTCCTTGCTGTTACTGGAGCCCCGCACAGTAAGACAACATTTTCATAATAGGATCATCTACTAATAATTAATAGTACCAGAGACGGACCTAAGGATCAGGAGAACTACGAAGCCATCTACACCGTTGGTCCGATCCTTAACAAGGTCAAACCGCGTGTCGCAACCCTGGAGCAGACGTTTGGCCTCGCGACGCACGAACAGCATAAGAGGAACTTCCTTATGCTCTTGTACGACATCGGTAAGGCCGGCTACGATGTCCGCTACAAGATCCAGGATCTCTCGCAGTACGGCCTCGTGCAGAAGCGTAAGCGATTGCTCATCATTGCTGCCAGGTCAGTCACAGAGGTCCTAGTATCTCCATGTTTTTCATGCTAATAGATGCCAGACGGGGTATGCCTCTCCCTCCTTTCCCAAAGCCCACACATGGCGCCCCAGGAACTGGATTGAAGCCCTATGTGTACATCGATGAGGCCCTCAAGCACATCACTCGCCAGGGCAGGCGAGCCATGAACGACCCCTACCATCAGCCTAAACTGTTTCCCATCCCCAAACCAGCCTACGATGCGCGGACTTTCCTCCGCGGCTGTATAACAACCGGCGGTACAACAGCCTGCCATCCTTCGGGCACACGCAACTTCACACCTCGCGAACTCTCTCTGTTCCAGAGCTTCCCATACGTATATGAGTTTACTGGTGCCAATGGTGAGGCCACGAAGCAGATCGGCAATGCCTTCCCACCAATCATGGCCCAAGCAATCTACCAGACTATTAAGAAAACTCTAGAAGCCTTTGAAAAGGGCCTTATCGGAGCAGAAGATGACCTCTCTGATCTGGATTTGATTCTGGAACAGAGCGGTGAGAGCGCTCCTCAACAGCGACGGCTCGACAGCTTCACCGGAAGCGCAACACCCTCCAGACCTTCTCGAACTGCCAGCTCTAGGATGGCGAGAGCTACTGAGTCGCGAACTGCATCGCCTTCCACGCGCCATACGGCAGAGTCGATGCAACCACGACGAAGGAATGCAAGCGGCTTTCCGTCCTTGAATCTCCTCGATGGGGTGCTGGATGGCATCAGTAATTTCGCGAATAGGAGCACCGCTTCCGCCAGCAGGTCCACCGGACGACGTCGCGAACCTAGTATTCCAGGCGACGATGACGAAGTCATCCATATTCCCAGCGACAGCGAATGACCTTTTGAGATTCTATCTGAAGAGGAGGGAATCGTTACTGCGTGAATTGATCTCATGGATATTCGGAAGCTGCTCCGCCTAAATCTACTTGAGCAGAAGCAGTCGCTGAAACATCGAGTCATGTGCATTGAAGCAGTCGGGTATCGTGACAAGCTACACGCCATCTGTGTGAATACAGTTCGTTTCACATCTAGGTTGCAAGGATAGTCTGTGAGGAACTTGTACAGCGAAGTACGTGCATACTACGTTTTCCTAGTTCCAAGTCACAGTCAACTTGTATATAGAATACACAAGATGTTTCCACTTCTTGACCTATGTGTATGCGTGACAGGATGTGTTACACGCGATGTTGCCTGCTTTCCTTGCTATCCATGGATCTCGAGAGGGCGCGACAATGCTCGATCTTGATAACGCGCCTCACTAGCTCCATCGCGTCATAGCACACCATGTATCCGTAGAATGTCTAGGAGAACACTCCGTACACTCCAAACTGAGGCCTTTATGCGCAAAGCCTCCTACTGGTGGACATAGTCGGGATATTCTGCGGGATACTAATCGGGCCTGACCACAAGATAGACAAGAGTAGAGTACAAGGCTACCGAAAGAGGTAGTTTGAGAGCCAAATACGCTATTGTCCGACCCCCAAGCCAAGCGCTCCCCAGACTGCATGCGTGAAGCACAAGGCCGTCATACCGTGAGCGATACCGACTCCCAGAGGCCAGGAACAACATCCGGACCGGCCAATTCCCAAGTGGACGCCGCTTACCCAAAAGCTTAATTGCGACCCAAGCCCGAGCAAACCCAGGTTTGACATGCTGTCACCCCCATCTACAGGATCATCTCGCGAACCTGGGGCTACAGGTAACGAAACCGCGTAATGAGCATACGCCGTACGCCCATCCCCCAAGCACCGACGTCCGCCCGTCTTATGGTAAACATCTTACGATTCTGACCTCATTGCGTCCAGGGTGCCAAACTTTGCAACACCGACGCTCTGTCCTCCCTCTCCCGCACCAATGGTCTCACCGGCAACTGGCAGAAACACGACGCGACCAGCATGACCCATGTTGAGCATTTCACCTTCTTTCCAAAATCTTACATGGCCGTGGTACATGCGTTTACCCTGCGTCCGCCAAAGTACACGTGCTTACCTACATTGGCATTTCTGACGACCGCCCATGCTCATGTTGTGATGGTGATGGACATGTGCTAGCCTCGCTTCTTCTCTCGTGATAAGGGAAGCGAAAAAAAGAAAACAAAGAGGAGAAGATTAAAAAGAGGGCAGCGAATCACGTTGTTTCGGTACGCCTTCCGTATGTAGCGCGAGAGGGAGCCAGCAATCTATCTTGGATTTTTCCTGTCCTCTCGGCCAAGTTGATGGATTTAGATTGCGAAGTTACATGCACGACAAATGCATCCAAAGGCGGTTTTTCTCGCTTTTCCTTTCTGCTTGGAGAGCGGGACCTGCGATCGGACCGTTTGTGATGGTAAGCGCCCCTCCCCGCCTCGTCACGAGAGATGATGTGGGCTATGCAGGTTGATTGAGGAGGTGCCTGCGGAGTTGGATCCGGTTACACACCGCTATCTATTGCTTGGTTCAAAGCGTGTTTTTTCAACATTCCATTGGGCATTTGGTGCGATTCGCTGCCCAGGTGGTATGAAAGCGTCGACGTTGCTGCCCGGGCGGTCTTGGTACGTCGTCATATGAGGGAGGGTTGGGGGGAGCGATGGGAGCGGAGCGGAGACAGAAGCCGGACGGAGGGGTATATCGACGATGCGCATGCAAGATAGGTGGGATGATGGATGTTCAGGGTCCGATTGTCGTTCGGAGAGACCCAACGATACGCCCATGCCAATGCCAATGCCATGACACGGGGAAGTCTCTTCGGTGGCTTGCCGCATGTCAGATTTGTTTCCATGGTTCGCTCGTATACTGGATGGTTTGTTTCGACACGGCTCGTAGCTTGGGATCGTCTTTGTTCGACAAGCGCGCCAGGTGTGCGATGAGTAGCGGTAAAGAGGAGACCACATTCAGGCCCAAAGTCAGGTCAGGCGATGGCTCGTCGGTGCATGACATTGCATGAGTGAGGCACAACGCCCTTTCCGGTTCAATGGAACTAGAGACGAGTGTGGAGCCCGACTTGAGCGTCTCCCTCGTTTATCATTCGCGTGGAACTGTTCTTCCCGACCCTCTAGTGCTGATCTTGCTAGCGTGCCATGTGCGTTCCCGCTTCTGTTTCTTGTATCTTACCTGCTGTGGCTTTGTTGTGATGCCGAGCGTTTGAGCCTTGCGCGGCATGGTAGATGCACGCCGCGCCGTCGAATCGCATGTGAATATCTAGTGCTGCAGCTAGAGTATCTACTACAGCGGAATTTCGCTAGTTGGTCGATACAGCGGGCTGTGCTTCAGGTCTTGAGGCTGTTTGGAAGGTCAACGAGGGTGGACCTCGGGCGTGCGTCGAACAAAGGACAGCAAAACGGCGCTGTTTTACGGGGTGTGTGCCGGAGTCTTCGGCCGACAGGTACTGAGTTGTTCGGAACAGCAGGAAACGAGTGCAAGTCTGCCCGACTGGAGTTAAGATAGCCCGGCTTGGTTACCCAGGACAAAGGAACATGCCGATTCGGCAATCAAGCGGGAAAAAAAGCAAGGGAGCAACTTTGACATCAACTCTCCACTTGCACACGATGCCGCATATTCGCCGTGTTGGCCGTTTGGGGCATCACCAACGCTCTTCTTGAGACTTGTATCAGACAGGCGCGGACTAACTCTTCCGCGCTCGCCCGTGGAAACACTCTAGAACAAGACTTGGAACCTAGCGCATCCGACATGCGAGACTACGCTTCTTGGACGTCTGTTCTCAATCGAATAAACCTTCTTTTCAATGTTTCTAGAAACACACCATGGCCGCGCTACCGGACTTTCTCCCTGACATATCGGGGCGTCTGCTTCGTGCCTGCTAGCCAGCCGCTCGACATGCCCTCCGGAGCCTTGCCGAACCGCCTTGAGCACCTACCATAGTTTCATCACCTTCTACACCGGTACATTGGGCGCAAGGATGTCTGCAGCCGAACGCCTCAGTCCTTCCACATGATCCTTGCGAACATCGATGATCTGCACGTCAATCGCGTCTTTGGACGGCAGAGCTAGGAGTATTTGGAAGTCTGCATCGTGAGCGCATGGACGTTTTTCTGGCTAAGGGTCTCCTAAGGCCGTTGCCAGTGAAGGGGTTCCTGGCTACACGGCTTCCTAGATAGCCAGGTGGAGCGAGTCAAGTGTAATGAATTCATGGGCTTGCAACAGGATGACGATTGCGGAATGGGTCACTTGATGCCGTCTTCGAGAATAAAGACCGGGGGTGTGCGCTGCTGTGGCTGATGTTGATGTTGTGGAAAGCTGCTCACTCTACTATTCCGACTCTCTCACGATCCATAGGGCTGGCCTTGCTAAGGATCTGAACCTCATTTCTCGATACGACATATCGGCCCATATCCTTCCTGTCGCCAACTAATCAGTCGAGTCGAGTTACTATAAGTTGGCGGATAAACTCAATTCCTTGATCACGTCAACCACCATGGCGAAATCAACACGCTCACCGTTCCTGGATATCCTTCCCCCAGAGCTCCGTCTACACATCTACACACACCTTCTCGTCGCCCCAACATCCATCAAAGGCTCCGTCGCCCGTCAAGACACAAAATACGACCTCCACACAGCCATCCTCCGAACAAACAAACAAATACACCACGAAGCCCGCTCCGTATTCTTCGGCAAAAACACCTTTTACATAACATCCATACCACCCACTCCCTCCAGCAGAGATGCCATCGACGACCAGCAACAAGAAGAAGAAGGATCCGGCGCCTTTGAACCCCCTCTCCAACTCACCGACCTCCCCCTAGTCCGCCATCTCGAAGTCGACCTCCTCTACTACCCCACCTCCATGACCACGTCCCTAGACTCGCGCGACGGAATTTGGAAACCCGTTTGCACGGGCGCAGACCGCTATACGACAAGTCTATCCTACCTGCTCAGCACCGTCTCGCCCAGTCTGCTCAGCTTGAAAATCTGCGCAGACACGCGTCGCTACGTTGGAAGTACTACAGGCCAGGACGCTCATGCTCTCAGCGACAAGTTCAAGGCCGATACCGAGAGATTGCAAGTTCAGAAGCTGCTTACGGGGTTCTACATGGCGGATAGTAACACCTTGTTCAAGAAGGCGATGAAGGATCTGCTTGTTAGGGACATTACTTTGCATTTTGATTTCCCGGAGAGCTACTTTGATTTCGTGGTGGGAAGGGAGAGGCTGTGCGGACAGAGCTTGGTGGAGTTGGCGGGACAGGTGTTGGCGGCTAGAACAGAGATCAGGTTCAAAGCTGCGTTGCAGGAGGTGGGTGTGGGGAGCGAGGTTGCCGAGGCGGGTGTCGTGAATTTGATTCCGTTTCCGTGCTAAGGATTTGGTGTTTACGAAGGTTGGGTGAATTGGAGGGATCGTTTGGGACAAGCATTTTGGCATGATACCATGATTTGAGAGCACATTGAGCATTTGAGGGCGTTTTTGGTTTACAAAACTTAGATCGGTGGTTGGCATTATGGGTACAGATAGCATTTGAAAGCATCATATTCACATCTCTACGTCTGTCCATCGAAATATCGACTGGTTGATGTAAACAAACAAGCTAACAAGTTTGACGCGTATGACTCGCGATGTAAACAAACGAAAGCTAACCATCCTTGACCACATTCTTGGTCTTGTCGTATCCTTCATCATCGTCGTAAATCGTAAGTGTCGTCTCGTATCCATACATGATCCGGAATCGCAGTCAAAACCAAACACAGATGGAACGCAAGAAACTCGGAAAGAAGAGGAAATATAATAATACACTCGTAGGGTGTCTACGCTTACCCACGGTCCTCGTCTAGACTCTAATAGTCCCTCCTGCGATGGCGCCTCGTTTTCACGGGGCTGCCATCACCCTCAGAGTCGCTGCTGAAGTAGTCG